GTAGACCACTCCAGTACCTTTGCCAAGAAAATCCCAAATGGGGTCACACAGTCGGACATGACTGAAAAATGATTGAACAACAACCTCTGACCCAGTCCAGTGTTCTTTCCATAACACCACATGGCTCAACAGAGTTCGATTAGCTGGTACCATTTGTATGATGGCCACAACCAACATTCATACAGTGCTTCAAGGTTTGCAAAGCATATTATAACAATCCTTGTTGGAGAGAGGCTGTTATTGATTCCATTTTACAGATGAGGAAGTGTGTGTGTGTGTGTATGTGTGTGTGTGTGTGTGTGTGTGTGTGTGTATGAGAGAGAGGGAGAGAGAGAGAGAGAGAGAGCGAGCGAGAGAGAGAGAGAGAGAGGAGAGAGAGAGGCCTGGATGAAAGCAACTAAAATTGATCATTGTGGGAGAAAAAGTGCCGTGTAAATTAAAAATTATACTACTGTCAGGATAGTGGAACAGGGAAATTTTATCACATAGTGAGATCATGATTTTAGCTGACAACAGCCCAGTTAGCTTGCTCTCTTAGATAGCAAAACAAGTTGGTTTTGGCCTGGATCTATGATATCATGGGCACAGGAAACAATGTGGAAATTCTCTCCACCCAAAGATTGTCAGTCAATCAGTAACCATTTATTAGGCACCCATTATGTGCCACGCTCTGTGCTAAGTGATGGGAATGCCAAGAAAAGTAAAAACCAATGCCTGCTCTCAAGAAGTTCATGATCTAATGCAGGAGACAGCATGTGAGCATTTACATACAAACAAGCCATATACAAGATAAATTGAAAGCAATCAATGACAGGAAGGCACTAGAATAAAGAGGATTCGAAGGTGGGATTTTGTCTGGGTGGAAGCCTGGAGACTTGGATGAGGAGGGGGAGCATTATAGGCCTGGGGCAGAGGGGGAGAGTCAGTGAAAATGCCTGGCTCCAGGAGATGGAGTATCTTGTTTAAGGAAAAGCAGGGAGGCCATGTCACTATGGAAAGAGTGGGTATGGAATGGAGTGTTTGGTGTAAGAAGACTGGAAGGGTAGGGAGAGGCTTTGAAAACCAAACAAGATTTTATATTTTGTCCTGGAGGTGATAGGAGCTGCTGGAGTTGATATGGTGGTGACCTCTGTAACTCACAGTTTTTGTGCCTGGGGCACAATAAGGGGTAAGTAGTTTGTCAGAGGCAGGAATTTAACCAAAGTCTTCTTCTCTCTAAGGCCCACCCAAAGGTTCCTTATACCATATTGCCTCACACTAAAAGACATAAAATGAAAATGTTTTGCTTCTGAAGTGCTGACAACTGCCAGTGACTCCTGGCCCATGGAGGACACTCACTTTGCTCTCTTTCCCCACCTCAGGGATGTGGTGTGGTACAATGGGAAAGGACACTAGACTTCAAGTGGAAGGGTCCGGGTTCAAATTCTATCTCTAGTATTTATTGCTTGTGTGACCTCAGGCAAGCTACAGAGCCTCTCTGGCCATCAGCTGACCCTTCTGTAAAATGAAGGGGGTTGGACTGGACGTCCTTGGAAGTCTACAATGTCTGGCTCTAAACCTTGGGTCCTCTGGGCTCCACTCAGCTTTGAAAATGTTTCTATCTTCTACCTTCTCACTACCTCTTCTATGATTGGTTATTTACCCATCTCCTAGCTTCCTCTTGCCTTTGGTGACAGTCCCTCTAGGTTTCGTTGTTGTTCATTTATTCAGCTGTGGCCGACTCTTTGTGACCCCATATGAGGTTTTCCTGGCAAAGATACTGGAGCAGTTTTCCATTTTCTTCTCCAGCAGATCAAGGCAAACAGAGGTTAAATGACTTGCCCAGAGTCACACATCTAGTAATTGTATGAGGCTGGATTTGAATTTGTCTTTTCCTAACTCCAGGTCCAGTGTGCTCCCTGGGTGTTTTCAAACACCTCCCCCACCCCTATGCCCCACCACCACTTGTGGTGTGTGAAGAGTAACAGAAGGCATCTTCAGTCTAGTTGCTTGATATTTTCATTAGCACTATTTCTGGAAGCAAATTGAAAGGAAACCTGTCAAGAAGAAATACTTGTCAACCAGTAATTAGCCAGCATTTTCATCAGACAATTTCAGGTTGCTAGGTACAGTGTACAGTCACTGGACCTGGATTCAGGAAAACCTGAGTTCAAATTCTGCCTCTAATATTTACTAGCTTTGTGACTCCGGGCCTCAGTTTCCTCTCTGTACCTCAGTTTCCTCATTTGAAAAATGGGGATAATAACTGTAGTCCCTCCCTCTCTGTGTTGTTATGAGGGTCAAAGAAGATAACACAAGTGCTTTGCAAACCATTAAGGGCAGTATAAATGCTGGCTGCGGGGCTATTGTTACCACCACCATTCCTTCCCTTTGGCCTCTTCTCCAAGGCAAATCCCTCTTTCACCTAGCCCTTGATTTCATTACCTCTGATCTCTACTGAAATAATCTCATGGACTCCTTTACCTTCCTCGCTACTCACCCACTTTCTGATTCCTTTCAAATAATTCCTTTTAATGGCTACTAAAATTGCTCTCTCAAAGGTCACCAGTGGCCTCTTAATTACTAAATGTAATGACTTCTACTTAGTTTTTCCCCTTCTTGGCTCTTCAGCATCTGACGAGGTTTACTAATCCCTTATTGAAAGTCCTTTCTTGACTTCCATATCATTTCATTACCTCAACTCTCCTACTTCTCAGATCACTTTTTAAATTATTTCCTCCTGCCCCCTAAGTATAGCTGTTTCCTAGTATTCTGTCCTAAGCCACTTTTAAATAGATGACTTCTAAATCTACATCTCCCAGTACTTAACACTCACCAAGCCCCAAAACCAAATCTACTTCATCCTTCAATGCACTTTTCCTCCTGAAGTCCTCATTTTTTATCAGTGTCACCACCACTGTCCCCGTCATCCAGGCCTGAAACTTGGAAATCACTTCTTACTTCTCCCTTTCCCACACCTCTCCCTGCCACACTTCCCATTACAAAGCCTTGTTGATTCTCACTCAAGTCTTTCAAATTCAGCTCTTCCCTTCCATTTTGAGTGCCATAATCTCAAATGAGGCGCTCATTCTTGGAATAGTCTTTTTTTTTTTTGGTGAGGCAATTGGGGTTAAGTGACTTGCCCAGAGTCACACAGCTAGTGAGCGTTATGTGTCTGAGGCCGGATTTGAACTCAGGTCCTCTTGACTCCAGGGCCAGTGCTTTCTCCACTGCACTACCTAGCTGCCCCCTTGGAATAGTCTTCTAACCAATCCACCTGCTTTAATTCTTATCCCCACTAATCTAGTAGATATCCTAATGCAAGATTCATTTAGCAAATTCAGGTTCTGATCATAGACTGTTGGCTGCAAAGGTCCTCTCACATCCATACTACATGCCCCGTCAAACTGACTCACTCACTGCAACCTACGTTTCTTGACTTCATGACATCTCCCTCTATCCACAATTCCTTTCTTGATCTCTCCAGAAAGAAGAAACCACATCTTCCTCCGAACTCACCTGGCAGTTTTTTGGTTTTTCACAGTACTCATTATATTCTACAGTGCGCTGTGTTTTGCACACATGTGCTCTTCCCTTCTAGACTGCAGGTTTTATAAGAGTGAGGGACTGCATCCTATTATGTCTGAATTTGGCAAATTATGTCATACAGTGTCTCCCATATAGGAGACACTCACTCTGGGTTGATGGAATGAGTGGCCCTCTCCACTGTAGATCTTACCTGTTGAAGTGGCTCTGTTTCCCTTGGACTCAGGCATGCCTTCAATAATGGGAAAATGGCAAACAGAAGTCAAAAAAGGAAGATTGTGTGACACTTTCTACTGTTTACTTCAACTGATTTCTAGGCAAATAGTGACCTTTATTAGCAGTGAAACTGTGAGGTGGGGGGGGGATGTGAAAGAATGACTTCTTAAGAATCACTCTTCACTGTTCTACATATTTAAAAGATGTCTTCCTCAAGTGATGATGGTTGTAGGTTGTCTTCTTCTTCCACAAAGTGAAATCCTTGGGTGGTCATGTGTAACTCTTGCACATATTCTATACGGGGCTTTTTAATTGGTACCTTGTCAGCTAGAGTGAGCAGATGAACCATTTCCATTGAAATACTTCTCCCATCCATGTGTCATCAAACAACCATGATAATTTTAAAATTCTGCCATTAGTTAAAATGATTAAATGAATAACAGTATCAATATTGGTAAAAATGACCATGTTCCAAACACAAGCCGTTATGATACCCAGCTCAGGTGTAAAAAATAGTATACAGATTATCATCAGGGGTCCTGCTTCCATAACTTACTACCTGTGTGACCCTGGGCAAGTCCCAAGTAATTTGACCTCTCTGGGCATTATTTTCTTCCTTTGGAAAAGGAGGGCGGGAGTAGATGTTGAACTAGTTGGCTTCTAAGGTACCTGCCAGTTGTGAATCTACAATTTTACAATTTTATAATTCATTTCTATGTCACAAAGACTTCAGATGAGTCAATAAATGAAGTGGTCCTGAAACAACTCCACTAGATACCCTCAAAAGCACATTCTCAGTGATGAATTGTACTGCTATTTCCTTCTGTCTTTCTGGCACATTGATTGCCTATGGGGACAGTCAATTTTGGGGTGAGCAAATTTCTAAATTTTGAATAATAAATTAAGTCAGGGGTTCTTAACCCTCGGTTTAAAAAATAGTTGATAATTGCATTTCAATGTAGTTTCTTTTGTAATATTATACATTTTATTAATTTAAAAACATTATCCAGAGAAGTGATCCATTAGCTCTAGCAGGCTGCCAAAGAGTTCTGTGACACAGAAAAAGGCTAAGTGTTCCTGACTTAGGTAGTGACTCGATTTTCTAGGCCACGATTGTACTAACTTCTATCAGCAATGATGCTATATTCAGAACTTGAAGCTACAATGACTGATTTCCCATGGAGGCACCAAAGTTCTTCAGGGACACCAAAAGCTACAAGACATTTGAAGACTTAGTAAGAAACAACTGGTTGCTGCAATACACAAAAGTTTATTTTTGAGATTTTTTTTATCTTTTCTGAAGGCAAAATATAATAGAACTGAACATCAATGTATTTTGTACAACAAAAACTTTTTTTTAATATGAGAACAGACAATCCATGAAGAATTTTTTTTTTAAGTCTTAGAATGGCTTCCCTTTAAAAAAAAATCATGCTTTCTCGCGGTCAACAAGGAGTCGGCATGGAAGGTATCATGGCAGTCGGGTCGATGCGGGGGGTGGGGGGGACAGAGAGGTGGGGGAAGGCAGGGGTGGGAGAGTGTTTCCCTTAGATCCTTGTCAGCTGGTGCCACAGACTGGATGGCAGGATACTTTCTACTTTCTCCATGACGAAATTTAAAGGGGCAAACAAAGTGCTGAGGAACTGCAAAGAAACCAGAGAGACATGAGAGTCAGAAGACAAAACCTCATCCATGAGCGATGACACACATCCGTATTCTGCACTGTACACCTTCACAACGCAGGCAGCCTCCCAAGAGAAGCACGGCTTATTTACATATATAGGGAATGTCAATCACAGGGTGGAGAGCCTGCAGGAAGGAATCTCAGAGGTCAGCTGGTCAATTTACACTTGGGAGAACTGAAGCTCTTCCAGGTTAAATGACCTTCCCAGAGTCACACGTATATTCAGTACTGGAGGCAAGATTTGAACCCAGGCATTCGAGCCTTTAATCGCTCCATGCATTATAGTGCACTGCCTCACAACTGGCAGAGCCAGGATTCAAACCCAGGTCCTCTGACCCCAAATCTGGCACGAGTCTAGGTGACAGAACTTGAATTCCAGCTCTTTGGTTTAGATAGGTGAATGGGCAAAGTGTCTTCAAAGGGCCTCTCTGCTCCTCGGACAGCCATCATTCCACAGTTCTACCACTCCTCTGATGCAGACAATGCAATGTATGCATAGATGAAGTGACTGGTTCAAGGCCCCATGGCCAGTGACAGCTGGGAATAAAACACAGGCCTTCTGCATCCAGCTCCCCTATGCCTGACCACTTTCAGTGGGTTCTATTTGAATACATCAAAGTTCTGGGACTTCATCGGTGTGAATATTCCCTCCATTGATATGGCTGGCAAGGCTGCCTTGACTTATAAGACTATGTATGAAAGTAAGGTTGACTACACTCTGATCAATCTGCTAATGAGCCTTTCTAAACAGAGTGAGGCTGGTGCCCAGACAATAGGAACACAGTCCAATCAGATCAGTGCTCAAAAACTTTCTCACTTGCATAGCACATGCCAACGCTTACGTTCCACCAGCACAGTCCTTAAGAACTAAGGGTCACATTACTCCAAGATGAGGGTCTTGGAGAGCCTGTATGGAGGTCAGTCTATTATGGGTTTGAAAAAAAAAAACTCCAAACCAGCTATCGGCATCTTTTGCCTACAAGAAGACTCCATGTTGCTGGAGAATTGGTTGAAAGAACAAGGGATACTTAGTCTGGAGAAACTCAGTGTCCCCTTTAAAAAAAACCCAACAGAATACATTTTTTTTTGTCTCTATCTTGTTATAAAACCAAGAATCTACATTTAAGTGAGAGAATAAGTTCATGTTTTATTTGATAACAGATTAGATCTACCAACTCTTATTTTGAACTATGTTTCTAATCTGCCAAACTGACCAGCACCTGCCAGAAAATCACGCCTAATCTACACAATGAAAATAGTGGCATATCCAGTCTCTTGGGAGGTACCATGCCATTGCTTGCCAAGTCATCCACTTACACCACAATTCTCTCTCTCCTCACTTTTATCCATAACTTGATTTAAATGCCTCATAACTGTATGTAGCAGAATAAATCAGGACAGAGTACAAGGTAAGTACTAAAGAAAACATCTGATACCCTAGGTAAATATATTTGGCTCATTTCTATTTAGTTCCGCAAGTTTTGAGGGTTTAGCAGAAAAGTGTAGAGTATATAGGGAGATTTCTGATAACTTCATGTAATCACTCTCTGTTGAAATTCAATTCAACAGTTAAGTGCCTACTTAGTGCAAGGTACCATGCTGTGTAATACAAAGACAAACACACTGAAATTTAGGTGATCTGCAGCCCATCTGTGTTTAGTAACTTGGGTTCCCAAGCAGGGTGCTTTACTCTCAAAATTCTGAGATGCCATATTGTGTGTCATTTTAAGAGAAGTGCTTTAAAACCTACAGGCTGAGAAGTGAGTCATATAGTGAGCACAGGAACGACTCCACTGAGTCTGACACCAGTAATGGTGTATCCTGAGGGACAATCCTTCTAATACCAAAAATACAATAAGGTGAAATTTGGACAACAGAATTACCAGTGACGTCTATAAAATTCCACTTCTGCCTACAAAATGGCACCATGTTATTGAAAAATTGGTTCAAAGACCAAGGGATACTTATTCTGGAGAAAATATAGGGTGGAAATGATGTCGTTTGGTATCGAAAGCATAGTCAGATAAAAGCACAACAGCTTGCCTGTTGCATATGACTAATGATAACTTAACATGTGATAAATGTCAAAAAAAAAAAGATGCCATCAATGACATGACATGTAATCATGACATGTAAGATGGCAAAGGGAAGGAGGCTGGACATGTAGCCAGAGGGAGATGAAGAGTCTGGGTGTTGTACTGGTTTTTAATGAAATATTGAAAGACTAAGAGGAAGGCCTCCAGCAATCATCTTGAAACCCAAGATAAATGAGCTGATAGGAGAGTATGAGGCTGTCTTGCATGAGTTGAAGTTGCCAAGCCCAGATAAACAACAAACATCCTAGAGTACCACGACTGGTAGATACGATTGTTGCATTGCTACTGCTGGTTGTTAAAAGATCATGGGGAGCAAGAGAGGTGATATCCTGATTTTTTTTAAAGGTGAAAGAGTAGTCTGTGCACTATAGCCAAATCTGTTAGCCTTAGATTCCTATAAAACTCTAAAACATTGAAGATGTAATTTATAGCATTTAGTAAAAAAAAAAAGTTATTAAAAACCAGCATGGTTTTATCAAGGATAACCAGTCAGACTAACTGCCAGACTCACTTAGTTCTTTTTTCTACCCTCACTATGTTATAGGACTGGTGGATCAGAGGAATACTGTAGGTTCGTTTGGTTTTTTAAACCTAAATTTTAGTGAAGTATTTGGCAAAACTTTATATGATAGCTTTGGGGACAAGATGTAAAAAGGACAGTACAGTTAGGTGGATTTGGAACTGGCTGGATGATGTGATCCAAAGAACAGTCCATTAATGGGTTGGTGACAGCTTAGAAGATTCAAGTGCCCCAGGGATTTGTCTTTGGGCCTATGATGTTCATAATGACATGGATGAAGACACAGATGGCCTGCTTACTGAATCTGAAGACTGAGAAGGGACAGACGATGGCCAACAGGAACCCCAAACATAAGTGACTAAATAAAATAGGGGCAAATGCAAAGTTGTACATGGGTGTCCATTGGTTGAATAACAGTTGAACAAATTATGGTATCAGCATATAACAGAATATTAAGCTATAAAAATTATGATGAATAATTCTGACAAACTTGGAAATGCTAGTATGTACTAACACAGAGCAAACTACATTGAACCAAGCCAACAACTCGTATTATATCCAGAACAGTGTAAAGTAAAAAACAAATAGAAACTCTGATCAATGCAGTGATGAATGATGACTTCACACAACTGACTGTTAGTGAAGCATGTCTCTCACCTCTTAGCACAGAGGTGGACTTGAAGTATGGAATTAGGCTTATGTTTTCAGACTTGGCCAATATCTTAATTTGACTACACACACTAGTTCCACGGGAGGGTTCCATTCAGAATGGGAGGGAGTCATAAAGAATTGACAATAATGACAAACACACACACACACACACAGAGGCTTTTTTTTTAAAGAAGCAAATAAAAGTAAAGTTCTACATTTAAATGAGAAAAACAAACACCCAAATTCAAGATGGGGGAGGCATATGTAAATGAAATCATGTGAAAAAAGAACTACGAGTTTTAGCAGACTGTGAATCAGAATGAATTAGCAGTTTAACACAACAACCAGGTTAACTGTATCCTAGACTATCCTGAGAATTGCAGTGTCCAGAATGATAGAGGCGATATTCCCACTCAGCTAGGTCCTAGTTCAACCAAATGAGGCGTATTGTGTTCTGTTCTGGGCACCACATTTTAGAAAAAGCATTGGCAAGCTGGAGTGCTTTCTTAGCAAGGAAATCAGGATGATAAATTGACTTAAGAACATGCCATGCATAGAAGAATCGATGAAACTGGGGATGGTTGAGTACAGAGAAGAAAAGATTGGGGTAGGGGATGGCAGTCTTCAAAGACATGATGGATTAGCACGAGGAAGGAGAATGGTACTTGTTCTAGATCTAGGAGCAATGGGTAATGTTGCAGAGACAGATTGTGGCTTGATGGAAGTAAGCTTTTCAATGATTAAAATTGTCGCAAAATGGAATAAGTTGTTTTGGGAAACAGAGATTGATTTCCTTAGTACAGCCTTTTAAGCAGAGGCTAGTTGCATGCTCATTAGAGATGTTAAGGGATTTTTTTTAATTAAAGTATAAGTTGGACTAGATAGCCTTTGCAGAGCTTTCTTATGGAATTCTCTGTATTAGGTAGATGCCCTATGGAGGACTTATGGAGAAGATGAGGAAGAATCATACAAGATGAGAAGTTATAGATAGATTGCAATCTATGCTAGTAAATACCCACCATGATGAAACTGGAGACCCACTGAAATATTGTGGTCATGCGGAAGACGCATTAGTTATTTTTTTTTCCTATTTGGTCTAAAAAGTAGAAGCAGGAACAACGAATGGAAGTTTCAGAGAGGTGGCCCTTAGCTAAGGGGAAAACTTAACTAGGACTGTTCAAAAGTGAAAAGGGAAATAGTGGATTCCCTCGTCATGGGTGGTTTTCAATTAGAGAATGGATATTGTTAATTGGATTCTTTTTCAGGTACAGCTTTGATTAAATAATCTCTGAGGTTCTTTCTAACTTGTGGTTCTGTGATTATAATAAGAGGCTCAGAAATTTCAATAGGCAGGAGCTGGGTAAATGAGGCGGTCCTGTTCATGAAGCTGCCTCATGTCACTCCAGAGGCTCACAGAGAAGTACTAAATTTTCAGCTCAGTACACTAATGAACTGCTAGGCCAATGGGCTTCCATGCAAGGGATCATAATATTTACACTCATCAAAATATGGTTTATGGAACCACAAATGAGGTGACAGAAAGATGAGACTAAAATATTTCTTTGGAAGAAATGATTTTCCCCATCCTTGAACTGAGAGGATGAACTAGCATGCCATGTAATATTTAGAATCTAGAGGTAGAGGATCTCTACACAGTATCGTACAGTTTAAATCCTGCATTCTACCAATAACAAAAGGTAGGACCAAGCAGAGATCAGAGAGGTTCTTTGCCCCAAAGTCATGCTGAATGAGGAATGAGTAAATAGTGAAGAAAGGAATCAAACCTGGGTTTTCTGACTCCAAATGCCACTCTACTATGCTATGTCTGTAAATATACACATGTTTTACAATCAACCAATGTTTCTGGACATAAGCAATTAATAAAGGAAAAAAGCAGCTTCATTTATAGTCTTGGAAAGTAAAGTTACTTACAAAGTTAAGCCTGAATTAAGCACAACAGATCACCCTAGGCCTGGGTAACAGCTCTTCTATCTCAACATGCAAAATTTCTGTTCAGATGGCAAAGACAGATTAGTCATGTCTCAAACTGAAACTCACAACAATTAAATCAGTGCTTCATGGTGAGAAAAAGCAACTGAAATAATAATTAAAAAAGGAAGAATGACACTTCAGTCGCCTGAGTCTCATTTCCCTGAAATTCCATTATCTCCAAGAAGGTCATGGCTCCCAGTGTGCATCATTAACATTTGAAACGCCCTTACTTATCTGAAGAAGTTCCAGGTGCCCTACAGCAATCCGACAATTGACATTTCTCTGTAATCAATATCTGACTTCAAAGAAGCTCTGGCCTATAACTGAAGAAGAGAGGCTAGAGTCAGGGGTAGGGGTGGGAGGAGGTGCTCAGTCTCGGGACAGAGAACAGAAGAAGCAGAGACAGGACACTTGAAAGCAGAGAGGGTCAGAAGGCTGACCTTCCCACATTCTGTGTGAGCCCGGGCTGGAATGATAACTTATTTATATGAGGACCCTTATCTTAGTAACCAAACATAAGATGAGCGAATTTTAAGTCACAGAGGCGATCACCTCTTCCCCTCCCTCCCTTCTTAAAACCGCTAAATGCCTTTAATTATACTGTTTCACAATAACAATACACACTTCTTTTGGTTTTTCTGATGTCAACAGATCGACATGTTTGTGGACAGAAAAACATATAAATACACTGGACATTTCTTAAGTTCAACACAACTCGTGGGGTGGCATGTAGATAGTCATTCAATCTTGTTTGCACTTACAAAACGACATTATCCCAAAGGCATTATCTATGTCCAAACTGAGAAAATCATTTTCACAAGCTGAAAATGCTTGCCAACAGCCCACAGGGCAGCAGTGATAACCTATGGGGGTGTCTGAGGAGCCCGGGGAGGTGACGGGGTGATGAATGTGAAGAGGACATTGGGGGCAGGGTGGGGAACCGAAGTGAGATTGTGCTTGTCTCATCCAGGCAATCCATCTTCAGTTTCCACGAAGGCCCTTCTTATATTTTGGAATCGCTAAACCTTAATGAAGGGTAAGATGAATGTGACCCTCTGGATTTAGTGGTAGGGCTAACATAAAACAACAACAAACAACAATAATTTCCAATCCTAAATAGTTGAACAAACTATGACCCATGCATGGCATATCAGCACAGAACTCTAAATTCAACTCAACCCAATTAAATTCATTTATTAAGCACCTACTATGCACAAGGAACTATGCTAGATACTGAAGATACAAAGATGAAATAAGGCACAGTCCCTGCCATCAAGGAGCTTACAATCTAATTTATATTTCATAAAATTTATCATTTCATTTATCTAAACATAAAATCAAGGCTCCTGAAAGTTGGAAAAGGAGAGATGTAGTTGGTATGAAGGCTACAATGGATATAGTACTCCAAGACACCGGAGGGATAGCTGTGTATTCAAGATATGGTGGTCCTCCTCTTGCTTGGCAAGCACTATTGCGTCCCCAGCTTTACCTCTCCCCTCCCAACCCCTTACCCCAACCAAAACGACGAGCGTCTGAAACTAAGCTTTTTCATGGGTAACAACAGTTTTGAATAGGAGAGGCTGATTTGCATCGTAACCATGCGTTTACAACAGGGCTGGATATGACTCAAGTTGCAAGTCACACTAAATCAAAGTCTTTGTGAAATGCGTCATCTTAATGAACAGAACAGATTCAAAGGCACACCTTTTTTGAATAAGGCTTTTGATTTGTGGGGCTTGGGGGTGGAGAGGAGGGTCTGGGGTGTGAAAAGAAGACACCGAGAATGATGCTGTGAAAGGAATGCCGGATTTGGAGTCAGAGGTCCTGGGGTAGAATCCCAGCTTTGCCACTTTATGTCCTTGGACAAGTCCTTTAACTGGTCTGGGTCTCAGTTCTTTTCACTGTAAAATGGGTGTTAGACTAGATGATTGCTAAGGTCCTTTTCAGTCCTGAACTTGATGAGGATGATCTAGGGTGAGGCAAACGTATCCTGATTTTAACTTTTACTAATTGGATTTTAATCTCCCTAGAGTTTAATCGACTTGTTTGTGGCTAGGTTGAAAATGGAAGGAAGTATTCATAGATAATTGGACATAAATACAAAGTGGAGGGTGTTTGGAGGAGTGTGAAGGGTTATAAACCATGTCCTATGAGAAACAACTGAAGCTTTGGAGACAGCTTTGTTTGGAGAAGAGAAGAGATGCGAATGATAGCTGCCTTCAAATATCTAAAGTGCTGTTAGGTGAAAGAGAAAAGACTTCTGTGTTTACTTCATGGGGCAGAAGGAGGATCAATGGGTGGAAATAACAGGAAAATAGATTCTGAAAAACCTTCTATGCATTAAAGCTGTCCAACAACAGTAAAGTAGGGAACTCTCTTATTGGAAGTGGCCAAGCTGAGACTTGGATACTGCATGTTGGAGATACAGAAGGGACTCTTGTATTGGTGAAGGGATGGTACTAAATGACCTCTCAGGTCCATTCCAGCTTCAAGATTTTATGATTTCAATTCTCAATGCGAGCAGGGGCATTTGATTTGAACACTGATTTTTACAAGAACCAACACAAATGCAGCTAAAATGAACTATACTACCCCCAAAGCTCCCCCTTATCCCCCATTCTAGCTGCTAACCAGGGTGATTAAAAAAATCAGTACACTAAAGGTAGAATTCCTCCTCCTCCAACTTTTTTTTTTAAACCTTGTCTATCTTGAAATTTAAAGGGAGAGCCAGAGAAACCCAAACCCCATGGTAATGTGTTTTCTTATTTCTTTTGTTTGATAATCATCTGTGTGCAAATCTGCAAACCATTTCTTCCAGCCCATGTTGTCTAATATGATCAAATGACCTAATGAAAAGCATCGTCTCTAAGGACAGACACTGATGTGTTTTGTGCTGTCACTAGAGATTGCCCAAGTCACTAAGTGCCTTAATTGGCAGTGCCCTTCCCTTTTGAATGGCCCTATCAGCTTAATAATAGTCTGGGTTGCATGTGAGCCCATGAGTGGATGGTACAACTCTGCACTTCCCCTCAATTCATTTCCTCAAACGAGCCAAGGATTTATAGCTTTTTATTTTTAATTTGTCTTCATGAGATTAACTTCAAAAATACAGATTCCATTTACTGAATGGGAGAAGCTACAATATCCTAAGCTTAGAAATATGTCATATAATTCAAATGAGATAAACAAAATGGAATTATCAGTTGCAGATTCCCTAAGCTTTTGCACAAGTGACATTCAATGCTTAGACTTCTCTGCTACTAAGGAAAAATCCAGGCGCTCAACAGTCGGCAGTGGCTAGTTCAGGGCCATCTCCATTTCTAAAATGCAGGGTCTTGCTGGCTTCCCCTCTGGGTCACTTTGGCTTTGCTCTCGCTTTCCCTGAGGGCTCCATACTGAAGAGTACTCACAGCTTTTGCGAAGACCCCCATAAGCTCTGGGAACTGATGTGTCAGGAGGGCCAGCATGGCTGTGAAGGAACATAATCCAGCAGTGAAGAGAATAAAGAAAGGAAGCTCCTTCTTTGGGTAAACTGATACTTCATGGAAAGCTGCGGAGAAGACACGAATGGAACAGTTAGTATTGAGGTGAATTTACTTTCTTTGCATAGGGCTTCTAACACATTGGCAGGTGACTGTGGTCTGATAGAGAGGAGGCCCCAGATCTAAATTACTTCAGCTTTCTACCTGTGTGGCCTTGGGCAAGATCCTTTAACTTGGGGCATTCAATTCCTCATCTGTAAAATGAGAAGGATGAGCGAGATGGCCTCTGTGGTCCCTCCTGGCTCTGAATCTATGAGCTAGGCTCCAATACAAAATGGCAGACCTCGAACAAATAAACCTCTAATCACATATTTACTCTAGTCCTGCCTGCATTCTCCCATTCTCTCATTCCTTTTCACATAGTCCTGGCTGGTCATGGTGTCTTTTTAATATCCGATCTCTGTGCTTGGCAGGATTGGTTTTAAGTGATAAGGGTTTACCCTCACAACTGAGGTTCCTCCAACTGTGTGGGTATGTCAAGGGGGTAGGTGAGACATGGGAAGACAGTGATCTGTGCTAATTCTTTGTGTGACTCAACATTCCTTATTTAAAGCATCCCGACATTACCTCTTTACCCTTCTTTGTGAACACTGCTCCATACTTCACTTCAACAAGTATTAAGTGCTCACTACATACAAAGCACTTTGTTAAGTGTTGGGAATAGAAAGATAAAAATAAAATCATCCCTGACCCTAGGAACATACATCCTACCAGGGTAGGGAAGTGAATAGACAACCCACACACAAATAGTAAACAGAGCTGATGTGAAGAAGCAAACAATGGTAACAACTGGAAGGGTTATTATTTTTTTAATGGAAATACTTGTTTTATTTGGTGTTAGGTTCAGAATTTTTTTTTAAAGATTGCTGGGTTCATGTGACAACTGCTGCACAGAGTAGGCTGACAGAAGGAACTGCTGTTGGTTTGTATGATAAATGTTCCTTCCCACCACTACAAAATGTAGCTGTTGGTGCCCCTGGAGAACCTCTCTCAGATATTAAGCTTCAAATCTATGGGCAAAATAATAAGCTAGTTTTGTTGGTGGAATGTTTATGGAGGACTCCTTGGAGTTTTAGTGACCACCTGCTGAATTCACAGGCAGTCCATCCCACACTTTCTGCATCTGGAAGCATCCCAGCTTATGTCTAGGAGGACCCCAGCTCAATATAGTTGCCTGGCTCATAGTTACAAGGATCTGCCAAAAGCTATTACTTTGGGCCAAGAAGAAGAAGATACTGGTGTCTACAAGGGAATTCTATGTTATGGTGCCCCCAGGTCCTGCTTTTTTCTTTCTGAGGTGGACAGAGACAATAGGATGGGGACCATCACCTCAGTGTCAATGATGGAGCATTACTAGAAGTGGAAACATAATTTGATTATAATTTACGTCATTGGCCAAGGAAATTGAAGATGTAAAGATCTTTTCCTCAACAGCCAATGAATAATAAAGCAGTAAGCTATACATACAGACTAGAGTGAAGGGGAGGCCCAATTCATATATTATGCTTTTTCTTTGGGGATTAATGTATATTGGATTTTTAATAGGCAACATGATGGTCTTTCCTTAAAATAAAACCCACAACTCTTCTACCTCAAAAAAAACCCAACAAAAAACCAAACAACCTTTTTTTTCAGGAGGTGAGATTCACATAATCTCATTCACTTGTACAACGTGGGCAAGACTTTTTGTTTCTGAAGTTTATAAATTATCCTGGTTTTAGAGGTTCCTTTCAGAAATGTTAGCCGTGGTCTGACTACCTCATAAGTCTATAAGAAGGCAAAAGTAAAACTTAGTTGAGATATTAATGAACTATTTTCTTCTAACTTTTCTAAAAAATTGTCCTTCTCCTACTCTCAAACTCCAGGGAAAGGAGAATGTTAGGTTTAAAGTGTTAGGCCATTATGTGCATTCTCTGGTATTGAGCACAAAGTTCTATACAATCATAAGTGCCATTTTGTAATAAAAAAGAAAGCTAAAATCTACCAACGTCTTTTTAAAAGAATAAGGAATTTCACATTAGGCCTGGTTAGTAAGGAAATGAGTAAGGAACCTCCTGCTACTTCAATATATGATGACAGCAATTAGTTCTGCACCTAAACCCCACAACTTGATGATTTATAATTGGTTCAATCATCTGAAAATATGCTATATACTCCACCCTCCAATGTTATAGTATTCTTTAGTATGAAGTATTTTGTACATTATATCTATGAGATATTGATATAATTGGGGTGATTAAAAAGGGTGGGAGAGAGAGAACTTAGCCAAGGCTAGAAGCTTATTATCTGAGAGAGAAAAAATGTCCTAACACAGATCACATAAAAAGCCTGGAAGTGATAGTTGTACACAGTTTACCCAAAACTGATTTGATAACAATTATTTAGCCCAAATTGTCAAAACAATGTTGTAATACACTAAATTCATAAATAATACTTTCCACATGTGGTATGGGTCACTAGATTGTTTGCCTGTAAAGTCCTTGAGGGCATTATCTGTCTTGTTTGTGCTTCCTTACACTGATGAGGCTGTAAAAGTTCTCAATAAATGTTAAATCAATTAGTCAATCAATCTGATGCACATGGGAAATCCCTCCAACCAGGAGGATTGCATCACCAAAGAAAGCTTACCCTACCTCAATCTTCCCTCTCTGGCAATGATGTCAAGGCATTTAGACCCCACTTTGCCATCCATGACTCATCCATATCCACAACTCTCCCCCTGAGTCAGTGCTTTCTCTTCAAATTAAAAGTCCCTAAAATGCCATTGTACATGAAGGAATATGCTTTTTAATCTACTGCTGTTTCCTTCTACAGATCCCTTCTGATTCTTACCTACAGTTTATCTCAAACCAGAGGTACCTAATATCCTGGGCACCCAATAAATGGCAAATATTTTTGCTTTAATTCATATTTTCCTTGGGTTTTATCCTTTGAAGAATTGGGAGAGTTTCTAACCCATTTGAAAATAAACGAGTTACAAGAACAGGAATGGCTAGTGGAAAGAAATATTACACTTTTATCACTCCCCCCCCAACCCCCGCCCCGGCCTGAGTGCAAAAGCCATGTTGGTTAAAACCAGTTGCTTGTTATAGAATTCAGTTAAAACTTACATGGAAGCAGTTCCCTGTCTGCTGTTTCTGTACAGATTGGATAAGGGTAAAAAAGATGACCTTTTTCCAAAGGATAAGGGATCATCCTAAAAGCTGAAAAGGAAAAAAAAAAGAAAACAACCAACTTATTATAGGCTCAACATTCACTTTACTGCTTCACAATTTCAAGAAAGATTTTGGGGCATTTTTAGATTTTGGAGAACTACCACAAATAATGTTCAACCTATGTGAACTCTGATCCCTAGAGCAGATAAGTGGGCAATGATGATTATGATATATTACTCACGCATTAATCTCACAGTTCATGTTGTGGGCGTATCTCACAAACTGGGGTTGGGGGGGGAGGGGAAACCATCAATAATAATGACCTGACCCATCATCTGTGAAAAATTCAAAAAATGTTATGAGCACTGACCCAAGAATTCAATTGGTAGTAAAGCGCTACACGAACATAAATCTGAATTGATTCATTTGGAACATGTTACAAATGTAAAACTATGAAAGGCATTTTTAACATAGCGTTTTCTAAATGTGTCCAAGTCGAATAAATTTTCAACCAGGATAGATTTAAAGGGAAAAAAAACTCAAAAATGCCAGATGGGGGGCATTTTTTTGAGCTTATGAATAACTTTTAAATCTTCAAAATCATGTGAAAAATAATGGATCTAGACAGAGAGAGAGAGAGAGAGATTGATTATCTGCATTTTGATGATGTCAGGCCACCTGAATAATGCTCTTGTGGCTTATGATAACATAGACCCTGAGACTGAATTATGGCTTTCCAATCAATCCATCCTTTCCCATGATCATGGACATTATTCTCACTGCTGCAATGTCATCAGCATGTTAGTCTCACAGTTCCTATGAACAGCATTCACTGAGGTGATTTTTCCTTAACAGATGTCTTTTAACTACAATACCCTGTCAGCGTAGGGCACAAGACACAGAATGCAATCGAACAACCATTCTCCCTTCCACACGTTCTCTTGCATGTGGAATGGGGCATGATGACTACATATGAAGCATGATTTTCAGTTTCAAAGTAATTGCAGTTACATCCTAAGCTATGTAATTACCTAACCCATCTCAAAATGCTGTCAATGTACATATTTATCTTTTGCATACTTATTTCAAACAGGACTAAGAAACGCAGAATGTTCTCCCTCACAAGAAATGACAAGGTTCCATTGTAACCAGCTTCAGTGCACATATGGTATTTATTCTGGTGTCTGAATATTATTTAAAACTAAAAACATTATGTATGTGATTCCAGCATTTGGAATGCAGTCAATCTACACCACAGTGGTATCACTCTGAGGTTACAGCACATTGCCACAGAGAATATAAATCACAATAAACTCAGGATTAGAACAGAGCCAGTTTGCTGGCAGTTTGCTGGGGTAAAAATGTTATCAATTTTCTTCTAGTAACAGAAACCTCTTAAACAGAGATTAAAACATTAAAAACACTCCAGGCCTCAGAGCTTCTTAAATGAAAGGCTCACCCTAGTTCAATCTGATTTTTTTTTTAAATTTCATAGAAGGGAAGATGACTTTTGCTGTAACATATACGAAAGAGGTCTCTCTAAGCAGACTGTTAGCACAAAGACCACTAGAAAGAACCAAACTTTCTAAATGAAACTAATCTTTTTTTCTTGGTGGCGGGGAGGTTGAGGGTGGGATAGGGATAGGACTTTTATTACTCTTTTAAATGATACACTAAAATCTCTTCCAGGAGGCAATGAATTGAAATCTAAACTACAATATGGTACAGTTTTAATACCATTTCCCATAAATGATGAATGCTGAGATAGCATCCCAAAAATGTGGAAAAATCTACGTGGAGAATGTGCTTGAAATTCAGGTTCCGTACATGCATCTTAAAAAATAATAATGTTACTATAATTAAGCACTTACTATAGTTCATATGATGTAAACTTTCTGTATTCAAGGTGGTTATTAATGTGAATTTAAATTTCATCCATAGTTGAAACTGGATTTTCCACCTCAGGGAGTCATTTTAAAAATGAAGTATGGAAATGCAAGGCCTTGAGAGTGTTAAACCTTAAAAAAATCCAGTGGTTTGTTGGTGCCTTTTCAGTGTTCTGTGCCAAACATCTTTTCTTTTGGTATTTGGCATAAATATCGAACTTGCATATCAAGATATTCTTTTTCTTGTTCTAAACTGTTTTGGTTGGGAGGGGGGCAGGGAGGAGTAGGGAAGAGGTCAGAACCTTTTATAGTACACAGCTATGTATTCAAAGTGTGCATGTTTATATGTATGGGTGTATTTTTCCATGACTATAAATGCTTTTGTGGAGCTCTTATGGTCTCTTGTCAGTTGTCATCTGCTTTAAGTCCATTAAATAACATTAAGACTTTTGGCTTCACTAAACAAAAACAAATACAAAAAAAATATTGTTCGGACTGGAATTCTATCCCTTATCCACCCTGTTGTGCTTAGGTTTAAAAATGTGTGAGATAAGTCCTGGAGATCTTTGAGACAGCTGGATAATAGGTACTGCATCAACTATTCCAGGCTTAACTCTCCCTTTCCTAGCTTCTTTTCATTTCGGATAGGATCCTCCTCCTCCACGTTGGATAGAAAGTGTCCTTTCCCAAACGGCGTTCAGCCAAACCTCCAGTCATTGCACGAGCACTGGGATATGCCAATTTGGGGATAGAAAGAGCTCTGGAGCTATTATACGCAGAAAAAAGTAATTTGTGCAACTCTTTTTTAGTAGTTAGTGTTTAGTTTAGTAGCTAGTGCTCTGATTATGGAGCTGAAAGAACCCACATCTATCCCTTCCTCTGTTTTCCCACGTGGAGGCTACTACTGAGGGCTCAGAATTATGCAATCTGGATATATTATCTGTCACAATTATGTTAGCATTACCCTTGGCAATGGAATTGCTCTGTGGGCTGGGCATTAGAATCACACTCATTGTCTGTGGCTGGATGCAAAGAGGAGGGATGAAGGCCTCTGCAAACCTCCACAGTCCTCCATTCTACCTGTTCTCCCTAGGTCGAGGTTGACCACTGTGGCAACCCTCCCACTTGAGTGATCTATTTCTGGAAATATCCATAAAACATCTGGAGATCCATAACCAGACATACCCACAAACCAACAAATTTCCAGGGACTTGTACACACCCAGATATTCTCACAACCTACTGAAATCTAACATGTATGTGGCTTTGGGCAAGTCACAATCTCTTTTGCGCTTCAGTTTCTTCGTCTGTAATATGAAGGGGTCAGATTAGATGGACTCCAAGGTATCTTCTAGTTCCTAATCTATGAACCTATTCCCTCTCACCCATGCTATACGTCACAATCCTTCATCAAATCAATCATTCAGACTATAAAATGAAACTTTTCCCTCTGCACACACTCCAACTCAGCTCTCAACATATTCCATCTGAACATGCAGGAGCCGGCTTCTTGAACCTTCCAACCATGCTGATGATCAGCAGAACATCCTCCTGCATGTTCCTTTATAGCACAAGAGTAAACTGTTATAAGCAATTGGGCCTTTATCAAGTTGTATGCAAAGCTACCAATTATTTAGGGTTTATCAAATGGACATATCTGTGATAACTCTTCCATAGCAACTGTAAGAAAATAAATTTTTGAAGAACCTACAGTGGCACAGCGGATAGTGTAGCAGGCCTGGAATATTCATCTTCCTGAGTTCAAATCTGGCCTCTGACACTTCCTAGCTGTGTGACCCTGGATAAGTCACTTAACTCTGCTTCATTTCCTCATTTGTAAAAATGAATTATAGAAGGAAATGGCAAAACCACTCCAGTATCTTTGCCCAAAAAAAAAAACCCAATGGGGTCACAGAAAGTTGGACACAACTGAACAACACAACAACAATTTTGTGGGTTTTGTATTCCTGTCAACTAGTCAGTCAACTAGCATTCATTAAGTGTCTACTATGGGCCAGGCACTGTGCTGAGGACACAAAGAAAGGCAAAAAACAGTCCCAGGTCTCAAGGAGCTTACAGTCTAATGGCGGAGAAATCTTGCAAACAATTATGTACAAACAAATTAGCGAATACTGATTTAGGTTCTAGACTCCAAAAAAACATTTTTTAAGGACTTGATGCCAACAGATCTTACAGGTAGGAAATTGAAGGTACTTTTTCAAATTATTCAACCATTGCACAGCAAGGATTTATAGAAAATTTAACCTTTAAAAGAGTTATCCATCTGGTGCTAAGTGAATTTCAGTTACTATGAGCAGGTAAGGGGGAAGTAAAGGAAAAAAAGGACTCCTTATCAACAAGTGTACAGTGTATACAAGGGCTATTGGCAATGAACTAAACTGATAAGTGTTTTTCACAAAATTGGGGGAAAGACATTTTTATAAGCTTTTAACATTCAGCTGGAGTTAACAACTGAGTGTCATTTGCCATTAAATTCAGAGACAGAATAAATGAAAATTAGAATCTCACACTATTTATCAAAACTGGTTCCTTTTTTCCCCATTCAAAGGAAAATTCATTTTTAAAAAGGAAATTAATGCCTGTTCCTTTCATGGCATCTTTTCCATCCTGTTAAGAAACCCCAAACAAAAACCTCAAGATCAACATATTTAATGAAGTCTCAGAATTTCCCAAAAGAAAAGTAAGCCTATGTCCCACTTGGTCAAATGAAAAAACAGAAACAAAGGAAGGCTAAGTGAATTGACCCAAGGTCAAATACTAGCCTTTGGAGAATAAGGAACTAGAAACCAGATCTCCAAAATCCAAGTTCAGTTTTCTGGCCACCAGACTACAGTGTCATTAAATAAATAAATACTATTAAAATAAAGCCTTGAGGCAGATGAAGTATTAGGGAGTTAATGGTTTATCAGCATTGGAACCTGGTAAACTGGGTAGAGAGGGTGGCACATTTGAAGGAGGGCTTCATGTGGTATGATGCTGCTTTAAATGGAAGCTACTACAAACAGGATTTCTCATTTATGTATATACTTTATAGACCATATAATCTGGTCACACTTGCAATGGTGTGTGTGTGAGGATAACCAGAGCCTAGAATGTTTAAGACGAGTATAATTCAGATAAGGTGGCAGCTGCTTAATGAACG